GTATCTTTAAGATCATAAAACTGAAATGGGTAAGAATTTCCAGAACTAACTAAAGCTGTATTCAAACTAAACAAGAATAGTAACACGGACTAAATGAATTGGGAAAAATGATTATAGTTTTTTTGTAACTCTTGGTTGAAACATTCCTGGTTCTCTAATATTTGCTCTTCCAGACTAGGGGACCTTTCTCTTAAGACATCAGTGATATAAAGAAATAATAATAAAACAAATTAAAGTATACCTGAACCCTCTGCAATTCAAAAGATCCCAGTAAGTATTCTTTCTTCCTTGGCAATCAGAGTCATTTGCATAAATTCAGTAAGAATCTGTTCTCCTTGTAACAGGACACCATTGGAAACATTGGTTATTTTACCAAGGCTTTGACTGGAATGTCATATTTGAGAGAGACATGCATAGACTCAGATATGACCAAACATCTTTAAGGAACTGAGGTTGACTTTATGAAACATGGGCTGAGCCATAAAGCCCCTTGGAAATGCTGGCCTGATACCCTGCTTACAGAATTCCCAGGAGCCTCCCCAGGTGAGTAAAGAATGTCACTTCCTGGCAGGTGCAGGAACCTCAGGATACTTTGGGGACCTCGAGAAGAGGAATTTGCCCAAATCTACAGGTATTGCAGACATGTCTGATGGCAAGTGCTTGGCTTGGCTTCTGGCCTGGAGAGGCTACTAAAAGTTCAATATAAGCAGATTCTAGCAAAGCAGATTCTAAAAGATATGATCAAACATTCTTGCTGAGCTTATGTAAATAATTAAGCCAAGTTTGTTAAAACTGGACTTGTTCTGCAAACAAATTAGTCTTGATTTGGCTATCTCTGGAAATGAGGGTTATTTTATAGAAAAACTATGCTTCAATAACCCACCTTTGCAGATATTAAATCCTAGTTTTGATTATCCTTAAATGTTGTTTGCCTAAGCTAGACAACTTGAGGTAAACCAGAAAAATTGCCACAGCAGCTCATGTATAGACAATCTTCTTGCTTGTTATTCTTTGGGGATAATAACAGGACCCCATGGGCATATGCACTTTTAAACAGCTGAAAAAAATGCATTTGATTCCCCAACAATTGTATAACACAACTATCACCTTGACCAATTCTGTGTGGCTGGGATGACAAAATCATTCCTTAAAAGCCAGAGCATATCCCACTCCATAGGGTTAACTAAGGACTTGTGGAGATAATGGATGACCCCATTTTCTTTATGACTAAATTGGATGGTACACTTGGGGATGCCCTTTTCTCTTGAGACAAGTCCTCTCCCACTTTCCAGTGATTCCTTATAATTAGGATATTAAGGCTGGACCTCAAACAAAAAGGGCTTTTTTATTTTAAAGATTTTATTCATTTATTTGTCAGAGAGAGAGAGGGAGAGCACAAGCAAGGGGAGTGGCAGGCAGAGGGAGAGGGAGAAGCAG